ACACACACACACACTAACACACACACACACTCACACTCACTCACACACACACAAACACACACAAACTCACACACACACACACACACATTCCCAATAGACTCGCAGATGGGGGTTACAGATGAATGTATTACGTGAATAACCTTTCCAGCTCCACACACACATAAACACAGGAGCACCTGCAGTAGTTTACACCTCGCAGCCTCACCATCATAACCATGGCAACCGCTGCTCAGTAACCAGGAGCGATGGGAGGACGGGGGTCTGCTGCTCGGCTCGATACGCTAAATCTGATTCCAGTCGCCAGCCGTCCAAACATTCAGCTCAAACAACACAAAGCACTGCTGATCTGCTGCAAACTCAGGAGCTGCCCATAGAGACAAGAGTCACAGGATGAACGCTGATCCAAAAGACAGGCAGCAGCTTCATGTTGCCTACTAAGACACCTCGTTAGGGCTCAAACCGCATGTTATGGCAGAAATGCATGTCCATCGTGAATAAGGCAATGCCAGAATCAGTGTTGCTATTGTTAACTAAAACGAAAACGAAAACTGCAAAAAATAATTTTCATTGATAATAATAAAATAAATAATTAATTTAAATATAGCTGAAATAAAATATAAATATTACATGAAAAACTTAAATGAAAATGAGAAATGTCACCTTGGCAACTAACTTAAATAAAATAAGCTTAAGTTGAAGTACTAAAATTACTAAAACTAAAACTGAAATAAATATAAATTAAAGCTAAATATAAAAAAACTAATAAAAAGGACTAACATACTGTATATAACAAAATGACTAAAACTTAGAAATATTGCCTTGGCAAGTAACTAAAAACAAGTTGAAGTACTAAGATTACTAAAACTGAAATAAATATAAATTAAAGCTAAATAAAAATATTTTTATAAAAAAATACAAAAAAGAAACCACAAATGCAAGTATGAGTGTGTGTGTGTGTGTGTGTGTGTCTGTCTGTCTGTGTGTGTGTGTGTGTGTGTGTGTGTGAGTGTGTGTGTGTGTATGAGTGTGTGTGTGTGTGTGTGTGTGTCTGTCTGTGTGTGTGTGTGTGTGTGTGTGTGTGAGTGTGTGTGTGTGTATGAGTGTGTGTGTGTGTGTGTGTGTGTCTGTCTGTGTGTGTGTGTGTGTGTGTGTGTGTGAGTGTGTGTGTGTGTATGAGTGTGTGTGTGTGTGTGTGTGTGTCTGTCTGTGTGTGTGTGTGTGTGTGTGTGTGTGAGTGTGTGTGTGTGTGTGTGTGTGTGTGCACGTGTGTGTGTGCGCGTGTGTGTGTGTGTGTGTGTGTGTGTGTGTGTGTATAATCAATCCTCTGTTCCTCAACAGTCTCGGCTACTTGGAAACTAGATTTGTACATTTTCTGAGGAGAATATGAGTGCCGTCTGCCTGTGCCATGCCGCTGAGAGCTGTGGGCGCTTTCCAGGACCAACTCCAAATCTCTCTGATATTCTGATAGATACAGCTCATAAAAATACAATAAAAATACAGCAGTAAAAAGCAACGATTAACAAAACAATTATTTTGCTATAAAAACAGCAATGTATAATGTCATGCAGGAACTTCTGTGGTCACTATTGTGTGATGATCTGAACAAACCAGGAGCCAGATGCAGGAGCCATTCTTAAGAATAAAATTCTTCTTAACTGCGATTTTCTTACTTAAGAAAAAACAAGAATATTTTGTTTTCCCAAAAACTTTCTTAAAGGGACGGTTCGCTTAAAACTGAACATTTTGTCATCATTTAATTACCCTCAAGTTATTCCAAAACTCTGTCCAACTTGTCTCCTGTTGGACACAAAATACATTTTGGTAACCAAACGGTTTTTGGTCCCCATTGACTTTCATAGTATTTTTTTTTCCATACTATGGAGGTCAATAGGGACCAGCAACTGTTTGGTTACCAACATCCTTCAACAGGAGAAACTTACGGTGGCCGAGAGAGCTCAACGTGCTGCAACTTAAGAAAACACATGCAAATTGAAAAAACACCAGCAAATTAAGAAAACATCTTCATCAGTTTGACAACACACGCGCTGCAAATCCTCACAACACATGCAAACTCCTACAGGTTCAGAACAACTTGAGAGTGATTAAATAAGGACAATTTAAATTTTTCTGTGAACTATCCCTTTAAGAATGTTCTTATCTGCTTTTTAAAGATTGTTCATAAGACAAAACTAAAGAAGAAATTGAATAAACTCTTAAAGTTAGAACAACCTCCAACCTGTCTTAAATCCTCAAAGGTAAGATGTTTAATTAATTTTCTGGAGTTGTTCAAATATTAAGCATTACAACATAACACTAGCTATGCATATTACTCTTATTAGTGATGTGCACAAGTTTTCTGAAGTGACACCAATGATCGCTCATGATTATGCATGACTTGACTTTTTGCTGTAATTATATTTTATAATTACAAAACTTTGAGGTGTTTTTCGTTGAGTTGATCAGCAAATCATATAATTAGATAAACGATAAATGTTCTAACGTCTTACAAATTTTTCAAGAACTGTACTGAAGATCATTCTTACGAACTTCTTAGAATTAATTGTAAGAAATTTCTTATCTTCTTCCTTAAGAATATCTGGTCCCAGAACTTTCTAAAACTAAAACGGAAATAAATATAAATTAAAGCTAAAAAAGACTAATAAAAATGCATTTATAATTGAATGGATAACAATTATTATTATATATTAGATCAATGGATAGATATAAAAAAAAAAATGGTAAAAAAAATTGCCATCTAAATAAATCTGCTTATTTTACAGATTTATTTTTTTTATCAAGTTCACATTTTTTTATATTTATTTATTTTCAAATTATTTCTAATTTAGTAAATATTGTTAAATAAATATAAATTCATTGCTATGCATGTGTTTTACTATCTTTAAATAAAATAGTGTACTGCATTAACAAATGTTTAATTAATCTGACCCTAGTGTAAAGTGTTACCAAGATTTTAAAAAAGTGTTTTTTGTTCATACAACAAAAATCAATGGGGTTGTTTTTTCTTCAAAATGTTTTTTTTTTTTCACAGAAGAAAGAAAGTATTCAGTAAGCAGTTTTTACATTTAACTAGTAGCCTCTTAGTGAACAGCAGCTTTGTGCCTGTCGTATATCTCGACGTCCGCTCTAAAGAGGGCAGGTCTGAGTGTACAGGGGGCATAAATCGTCCTGGCAGGAGGGAGTGATTTCCCATCATCCTTCAAAGCAGCCACCCACCGCTAAAGAGCCGCTGACTGAAGCTGCCAGTGAAAACATTTGGCCTATGAAGCATTTTGCGGTCGCTCACACACACACTGATCCGTTTAAGTGGTAGGTGGGCTTCTCTGAGGTGACAGACGGGTTACGTGCGGTCAGGCCTGACTGAGATATTCAGCATGAGTACAAAGAACCTGAGAGAGAACCAGCATCCACAGCGAGCCTGCAGTTACACGCACATCAGACGGTTCGAAGCGCAGCTCACTCCTGACACACGAACAGTAACACTAGCAAGAACACACATGAGCAACATGCACATTTCTTCTGCATGAGCACTAATTTAAGCACAAACATGATGTTTTAAGTAGAATTGTCATTGTATGTATAAAATCTTTGCTGAATTCAAAATTCAATAAAAACTCGTGCAAAACCTTGCTTTAAATTTTATAATTTTTCATTGACTTGATCAGCAAAATCATCCAATCAGATAAAAGATAAATCTTCTTAAGAGAATATTTGAGAACTTCGTACAATTCTTTCAAGAATTGCACTAAAAAATATTCTTACAAACTTCTTGGAAGTAATCGTAAGCAACTTCTTTCCTAAGAATATCTGGTCTCAGAACTTTCTAAAACTAAAACTGAAATAAATATAAATTAAAGCTAAATAGAAAAACAAAAAACAAAGACTAATAAAAATTACAAGCATTTATAATTGGATTACTGGTGGGATACCACTGGTGGGATACTATTTTAGTATCATTTAATACTATTAGGCCTATAGGTTTTTATTGATATTTTGATTTTTTTTTTTTTCATTTTAGTTTAATAATTTTTGCTTTTTTTAAATGTCTATATAGTTTTTATCTTTAATTATTTTAGCACTTAAACTAAACAGAAATTAGAAATGATGCCTTGGAAATTAACTGAAATAAAATACGTTGAAGGATTTTTATTTTATTTCAAGTTACAATAGTTTTAGTTAACGAGAATGATTAAAAACGTTCGTCAACGACCTTTTTTTTTTCCATGACTAAGACAATAAAAAAAAAACAATTTAACAATAACTGCAACTATATCAACAACATGCAATGTTTTTACAAAAGACAAGATATATATATATATATAAACTTTACCATCTCACTTTATTTTAGTCTACAAAAATGAGACAAAATATTACAGTTTTTTTTTTTATTACAATTGCTGTTTTAATAGACATAGACATAAAACATGAACATAATTCATATTATGAATATTAAGAATTAATATGAGGAATTTTACTTGTTTTAGCTTTTGAGATAATCTTCTTGTTTTAGTGTTAATTTATAATAATAACAAAAAGAAAAATATAATAAGACAGGAAACTCGATTAGGTCAAATAAACAAAGCATCTGAGTTGATGTTCTGTTGATTTGTTGATTTGTGCTTACATGAAAGTGCAATAATTTTGTTGAAATGTAAAAAGAAATTTTCTCAAATGACTAATAATTGTGACTTTAATTTTTGAGTTGAACCATTACCATACAGCACGACTAAACAGGACTAAAATATGACTAAAATGTAAACAGTTTTCATTGACTGCAACTGAACGTCCAGACATTGTCAACTAAAATCTAAATCTCAGGTGTAAATGTAATCTTTAAGAATGAAAAAATTAAACAATTTTCATTGTCAAAACTCTTCTTTTGTGTTCATACAGATGAAATAAGGTACAGGTCTGTCATAATTACAGCAGCACCATGTCATGTTGCTCTTTCCAGCTGTTATTGAATGCAAGAACATGACCTGTGTGAGCGGCCCCATATGCATGAGGTCCTAGTTTGGTTCAAATGCTGTTAAGAGAGAAAAAGTGAACCAGAACTCACCGCATTCTGCTGACAACACAAGCAGAACCGCAAGAACCTGCAGCTGCAGCCCGACACGCAACATCCTGTGTAGAGAGGAGAAAGCAATGAGAATTATAAAAAACAATACTGGCTGCGTCTCAATTCCTATTGCTATACTAACCATGTACTTCACTGACAATGGGAAAGTAAACACTTTTGAGTGTGTACTCAGAGAGTGCAGAATTGGGACGACCTGCCATGCCTTGCATACTAGTTCACCTGTTCTTATAATCCGAGTATAATGAAAGGAAACAGAGGACTACTGAGGTTATATCTTGGGTTTTAGACCAAGAACATGTATTAACAAAGTCAGTTTTGACTTTAAAGTTGATCTGGTTAACATGAAGCAATGCACCAAATGTAGGACTCTATGATTTCCGTCCATCAGGAAAATGCAGACAGAATCACAAAATCCATTAATAAAAATGGAATTTACTGTATAACGTGGAATGTCGCAGAATTTGTCAAATTTTGGATGAACAAATCAAAAGTAGGCCAGTACACTTAAATATGATACGGACTAATGTCTGAATATTAAACCACAAAAAGACTATTTAAATATGAATCCTGCATGTTCTGCATGTCTCTGTGTGAATGAATGGCGCAGAGACGCGGTTTTGTTTACTACATACATACTGAAGCATTTTACCGTTTTAATGGAAAAAAACTATCGTCATATCATATATACACAGAAATTCACGGCATCCCGCCAAAATAAAAGTTTGGTTTAACTTGAAGAAACTGTGACAGAAATATATTACTATTGTACAGTAGAACCTACGTCTTAATGAACTACTACTATTAATAATAAATAATAATAATAATAATAGATCAGAAATAATCACACAAATTTTCTTCCATGTTTTAATTTTAACAATAAAACTGTTGTGCAGCACTTTGTATGCCAATAAAATGAAAGGGTTTGTTTAACATTCATTTGATTAAAAGAGAAACTACATTAATGTTTTATGCCTTCATTTGATAAAAATGAAAAAAAAAAATTTATATTAAATTAATTTGTTTTATGAATTCAATTATTTAGACATGCTTTTGATTACTAAAATGTAATTAAACTATTAAAATGGAATCCAGAAAAATTAAAACAGAAAACAGAATTTGGTCAAAATAAAACGAGTTTGAGAAAAAAATAAAAATGTATTTCATAGGGCCCTAAAAATTTTATTTTATTTAAACTTGTAATAAATTGATGTTAAATTGTATAAGTTTCATGATTTCAATTAATTAAACATGCTTTTTGATTAATACAATTTAATTTAACCATTAAAACTGAGTCCAAAAAAAACGGAATCCAGAAAAATTAAAATGGAAAAAACGGATTTTGGAAAAAATAAATAAAAATGATTTCATAGGGCCCTATTACTGACCTGACAATCAAATACACCCTGAGCTTTCTTGCACTAATACTGAAAAGAAGAACACATAAGAAACACAGTGTGCAGATGGAAAATGACAGAGGTTTATTAGGCGGACTGTGTGTCCTTTATAAAGGAGATGAAGGAGAATATGAATATTAATGCAGTGGAAGGACGCTGGTAAGGAAGGTTTTTTTTTGTAATCCAACACTAGCCACCCGACAGATACACCAACAACAACACTCTCAGAATAGTAATCAGCCCTCTCTCCCACAGTTTCACTGAACTTCCCCTCGCTGTACGTCTCTCTCTGTGGGTGGTCTGTCTTTCAGTATCCTTCACGCCGTCTCTAATCCTGCTCAGACAGGAAATGTCTGGCTTCTGGAAAATTGCTCTCTATATTCCATTCTTTTAAGTGTAATGAAACACACGGCAATGCCCTAATGACAGAGAACCCCCTAGTAACTGCTAGCACCACCCTAGGGACCACACAAAAAACCCTAGTAACTGTTTAGCTACACCCTAAAAACCCCCCAGCAATGCACTGGTAACCATGACCACCCTAGAGACCATCTAGAGCCCCCTAACAACCACTTAGCAACACCCTAGCAACAACCCAGAACACCCAGCAACCACCTAGCAAAGCCCTAGTAACCAATCAGAACCCCCTAGTTACTTAGCAACACCCTAGTAGCTAGAACCCCCTAGTAACTGATTAGCAACTATCTAGCAACTTCCCAGAACACCATAACCACCTAGCAATACTCTAATAACCACCCAAACCCTGCTAGCGACCACCTAGAACCCCCTAGTACCCATTTAGCAACACCCTAACGACCACCCAGAACCCCTAGTAACTGCTAATCAACACCCTAGAGACCACCTAGAACCCCCAACAACTTACCAATACCTTAGTAACCCCCAGAACCTCCTAGTAACTGCTTATGAACACCCTAGCGACCACACAGAACACCATAACCAACTAGCAATACCCTAGTAACCCCCAGGACCCCCTTGTAACTGCTTAGCAACACCCTAGCGATCACCCAAAACATCATAACCACATAGCAATACCCTAGTAACCCCCAGAATTCCCTAGTACCCGTTTAGCAACACCTTAGTGACCATCCAGAACACCCTTGTAACTGTTTAGCAACACCCTAACGACCACCCAAAACATCATAACCACATAGCAATACCCTAGTAACCCCCAGAATTCCCTAGTACCCGTTTAGCAACACCTTAGTGACCATCCAGAACACCATAACTACATAGCAATACCCTAGTAACCCCCAAATTTCCCTAGTACCCATTTAACAACACCCTAATGACCACCCAGTACACCATAACCACATAGCAATACCCTAGTAACCCCCAGAATTCCCTAGTACCCATTTAACAACACCCTAACGACCATCCAGAACACCATAACCACTTAGCAATACCCTAGTAACCCCCAAAATCCCCTAGTAAATGCTTAGCAACACCCTAACGACCACTCAAAACACAATAACCACCTAGCAACACCCTAGCGACCACCTAGTACCCCCAGTACCCATTTAGCAACACCCTAGCAACCACCCAAAACACCTAAGCAATGAATCAGCTAAGAAAAGCTGTCTGGCTCACTTAACTTCATGGAGCTGTAATGAGCATGAGCATAAGGAGGCCTCGGCAGGTTCATGAGAGGCTGAGAGATCAGGAGGGTGTGAACCTGGTGTCAGTCAGCAGGACGTGTGGAGTGATTTCAAGCCCTCTATCCATTATGCATGCTGCGAGGACTCGCTCCCTGATCTCTCTCGACTGGCACCAGCATCACGACACTCGGCTTACAGCTCACAAACACTCTGCCAACAGCACCTCCACAGGGAAACATGGAGAGAGGAGGAGAAACGCCAGCATTTAAGAGCCAAACAGCACCAGAGACAGCAAGAGAGAGAGAGAAAGACGGAAATAAAAGGGACGGAAGACTTATTTACAGGCATGGGAAGGTCGTGCACCAGCTCGGCTCCAGCATTGAAATGTCAGATGAGTTTCTGGGCGAGCGAGCAGCTATTCTCTCTACTGTAAACGCAAATTCACTGATGCTCCAGGCGTTTAGCATTTCAATTCCTGAAGGATTCAGCAGCGTTTTTGTCAGAGGTGATTTAATTCGCATCAGTTAGCTGTGCTATTTAGAGCAGTAATTAGACACAGCTGAGGCCAATTCAAGAGTGGGACTTTAACAAACCACGTTACTGGAACTGCAGCATTTACGATAAGCAAATGCGAGCAGGACTGTGTGTTTATGGGACGTATCAAAGTCGTCTCGTAGCCCACGGCTGTTTAATGCATACTGCACAGTAAAATAACAAGCACACAGCTTTTCTTATCAGCCCGCCTGCAAACAACAAGCGAAGAAGAACTAATGGATTTCTGGACTAAATAGACAGTTTTTGGTCAAAACAAGATGCAAAACTATTTAAGGAAGCAATGTCTTTATAATTTAATAAATACCAATTTGTATAATACTTAAAAAATAGAGTAATGTTTTTCTGGCACGAAAACAATGAGGTAACACATTTACACTAAATACAACCAATAAAACTTTTTTTAAAAATCAAATTATTTTTTTTAAAGAAATTAATACTTTTATTAAAAAAGGATACATTAAAATGATCAAAAGTGACAATAAAGACATTTATAATGTTACCAAAGATTTCTATTTCAAATAAATGCTGTTCTTTTGAACTTTCTATTCATCTGTGAATCCTGAAAAATAAAATGTATCACAGTTTCCACAAAAATATTGGGCAGCACAACTGTTTGATAATAACCAGAAATGTTTCTTGAGCAGCAAATCAGTATATTAGAATAATTTCTTAAGATCATGTGACACTGAAGACTGCAGTAATGATGCTGAAAATACAGCTTTGATCACAGAAATAAATTACAGTTTACAATATATTCACATAGAAAACAGCTATTTAAAATTGTGATAATATTTCACAATATTACTGTTTTTACTGTATTTTTCATCAAACAAATGCAGCCTTGGTGAGCAGAAGAGACTCTTTCATAAACATTACAAATCCAAATTTTTGAACAGTAGTACAACTTAAGCAAAAAGCCTTTAACTAAATACTTATTTCACAACAAAATGAGGCACAAGGACTTCTGGAAATACTTCTGAACAATGGCTCAAATAAACCAATACTGATTACTTGTAATGATTCATCTGAATGAGTCGCTTTAGTAAAATAAATCAGACCAATATAGAGGAGATTGTGTTTGATTACTGATCAGCTCAGTCTGTGCAACACAACGTGACATCAACATCAAAAGCTACACAGCCTCTTCAGTAAAGCAGCTAGTTGCTGGAGAAGCTGCATTTTTCACAGATAAGCTACTGCCACACTGACAAATGTTAGTAGCCCTGTTACTTAGTTAACAGCCTCTCCAGCAATATAGTGTGTGTGTGTATGTGTGTGTGTGTGTGTGTGTGTGTGTGTGAAAACAAGTCTGATATCTGATCGCATGCACACTGCAGTGCACTATGGGAGGATTTGGAAGAAGATGCAAACAGTGAGTCTCAATATGAACCCAAACATTTCTCATCAAATGATCTGAGCTGCTCTCTGCATTCACTTTATAGCTCTAAACTCTTACTGGATGACAACTAGTGACTCATT